GAAGGGGGAGGGGAAGGGGGAGGGGAAGGGGGGGGGGAGGGTGGGAAATGGATCCCATCGATCAGATAATAAAAAACCTGTTGAAGGTTCATCGGATAAAAGAAATGCTTTGAAAGTGGGCGCGGAAGAGAAAGAGGAACGGGGAGACATCATGGAGGAGGGGGAGGGCTCCCCCCCCTTGAAGAAAAAGGGGGGGAGGGGGGGGGGTTCTCCAAATGGAGAGGAGAAATTATCAGGCTGTTCGTTTCCTTGCGTCCGGCAGGGGGATCGGCAAGAAAAGACTTTGGGAATGAAACCTTTGATTTTCTGGATGTCTGAATTGCAGGAATCCGCGAGTTAGAGTTTCCCTAAGGTCTCAATCTGGAAAGTTCCATATCATCATCATATTTTCATCGCGACGAATCTCCTCGGAAATGCCAAATTTGCCAAATTTGAGGAAAAAAAAACGATTTTCACGCTTGATTTCACACGTGGAACCCTCAGTCATCTAATTCCAATTCCTCGTCGCACTTTCCAATCCACGCCCATCTCTTCCGAGCGTGGTAAAAAAAAAAGTTTTCCCAGCAAAAAAAAAAAAGTTTTCCCAGCGCAAACTCACTAAGAAAAGGGGCTTTGCCCCTTCGCACAAATCGCCATAGACGTCGAGCCGGACTTCCTTCCCATCCATGAAGGCGGAATCCACTTGATCGTGCGTCTCGAACGCCTCGATCGCATCGCCTAAGAAAAGGACGGAAGCCAGATAATCAACGAAATCCACGCCAAAATCACTTAATCCCATTCAGAACGGTTCCGAACGCCCGCGTCCAAGTTTCCTCAGCCTATTGAGGCACTCTTGGGTTTTCCTCTCGAGAGATGGTAATATATTGCCCTGAAGTCCAATTTCATGCTGCCGCTGCGACGACTCGTACTGGCGGAATTTTCCGGTCCAGAGCCCCATGACCAAACGAGTACGGAAACGCTCTCAAATCGTCATTTTTCTGTCAAACTGATAATCGACTCACCCGACGCATAGAAGAACTTGACCGATTCCCCAAGGACACACTGGAATCCCCCTGGATGAGGAAATTCGTCCTCCCCCGTCAGAGCGTTGAACGCATTGGCGAACACGCCCGCGGATCCGTCCGGCCGGATGACCGCCCTGGTCGCCGCGAACACCGTCTGACCCTCGACCTCGCTGAGCGACAGGCCCGGCCATTCCACGGCGAGCCCCGTTCCGTCTGCAACGCGAGAATGCGTCCCGAAAAATGAAGCTTCAGCTCCAGCTCCTCCAACCAACTTGGACGAGACACTTCCTCATCGATGAATCAATTTATTATCTGGCATTCCCGACATACGAACACTGACAATGTGGTCGGTTTCTCACTTTTTAAATGTTAAATTCCGTCAGTCCTCAGTATCCATAGCAACTGGACAACACGACCCAATGCGCACGCGCAGCTTTCCGCCTGGGTCGGGGTGCCCGTCTTCCACGAAAACAGTCACTTCCCCTCCAGCCCTGCCGGCTGACGGATCCATAGTGGAAAATGGAGGAGAGTTGCTGCTCCCGGCCGCGTAGACAGGGTTGCTAGGCGTAAGCGTGAAATGCCGTGTCTGGCATCCTATACTTCACATTGTCCTACCATCTCCACGCGACGCGGACGCGCAAACCATCGAGAACATGACTTGTCATTTCAAGTAGGCCGACGCTGAACTAATGACAGATATTATTTATTTCAAGGTTGGATGGTTAAGATGCAGTGAATATATATAACTAGAGAGTACCAGCCCAGGTACAGATCAGCCATTCCACTGGTTCGTATACCATTGGAATCATCACATTCACCAAGTAAAGAACCCTGCAATTCCCACCTGGAACGACGTAGTACTGGTAGTAAGTGGATCCACCCTCGGCGACGATGACCTCCGGCGGCAGGGGATGCACGCAGTCGGTCGCGATCGCCGCGATCGTCATCTGGCGACCCTCCACCAGAGCCAGCAGCAGGTCGTCGTACGATGCTATTAGTGTGCTGCGAGAGATCCGAAGCTTCTTGTCTCTAGGGCTCGTTGGATACAAAAATTTAAAATACGCGAAGTCTGGAAGGTTCCGATTTCTTTTAATGAATTAGGTTCGTACCGCATATCAATTCATGCTTTTTATATTAATTCGGGGAACACGTTGAAATGAAACTACTTCGTCAGGTGGTTTGTAATTTCTTCATATATTTTGTGCATTGAGGCTCTTGGATTTATTATAGACGAGCAATTCGATCCCTTCTTCACGGAAAAATATTTCCAGTTTCCACTGCAGCCTCACCCCCGTATAAACTACTCGAAAGCGGAAGTGAATCATTCGAGATGCTCAACTTTATTGCAGCAATGCGAGGAGGAAAAGGGGTGAAGCAATTAAGAATAACAATAATTATCCTTCTGGAGAACCAATCAACGTGCGACAGGCTATTTTCATGTGTTTAAGAGAGCTTTCAGATGGCAATTGAGACTTTTCAATCTTCTGGCCATGATTTTTACCAACATCCGAAAAACCGAAAAAAATCTGGCTGAATTTTTTGTCCACCTGGTAATTCACCTCAACAACTAGTACTCAGCCTCCTCAATCCGGATATCCGGATAAACATACTCCGGCTGGTGGATGCCCTTCCGGACGAAGGTGGCGCCGGTCCCGAGCCGGCAGAGCGCGCCGTAACTCCCCACGACGAGGCCCGTGTCCGCCGCCACTCGAAACGCATCGAATCCGGCGAACCCATCGGCATCCACGAACGAGAATACGAGGACGAACTCCCCGTCGGCTGACGGATCAAAGACTCACTGCATCGCTTATACGGGGTTGCCCAAAAAAACAACAAAGCTGTCATTTTGGATGAGCCGTCAATCTCATTGTTAGATGCCGATTCCGATTAAAATTGTCGGGCTCATAGGGCGACACAATTGGAGTTTTTATGTCGAATTTCAGCCTTCTGGCTTTAAAATTACAGGAGCTGTAATTATTTCCCGATGACCCACGACAAAAGTTGCTGTCAAAAATAACGATATGAACTTGATGCCTGGATGAAGGGGAATTCGCGACCTTCCATCCCTTTCTCTCCCCGTCCCATTCATTGGGAAGCACTGCATCAACATGATGCAGTGACTCTGCATCATGTAGATGCATTGCCTCCCAATCTTCCCCTCCAACTTCAGAGATTTATCGACCGAGCCATTGACCTGTGGAGTCCCAGATAAGAGGCTTGTGTTTAACGGAATGTATTGCACATTGAGCACCTTTTCAGTTGAAATGAACGAAACTAAACCAAATTGCCTGCTTTCGTTTTTTATATTTTTTTGCTTTATGAAATTCTGTCTGGCTGCTTGTTTGTTTTCGTCAGTTGTGAGAAGTTTTAAGTTGAAAGAAAAAATGAACACTTATATTTTTGGTGATGAATTTAATGCCAATCTCACAGTTTTGTAAATTTTTATTTGAAACTGCACAGAAACCCTACTTAACTCCCACCATGTGCCTCCCAAATTCCATCAGAATCGACGACCCACCAAATACGTCAGCCTTTTTTTTTTTTGCCCCACCCTGTATTTAAAACCCTCTTCGAGCGACAAAAGGGAAGATCATCATACCATTCATGAAGCTTTGGATGGAGCTGACGACCGGAGTTTCCTGCTCGACTTCCGTGTGTTTCCACAGACCGAAATGGACTGACGCCAACTGTTTAACACATCCATGTCAGAATCGATTAATCTTCAATGCATCGCACCAATCCATCACTTCAATGCATCACAGGTATCAATAAGAAGTGTTCCTTGCATTTTCCCCTGAAGGAGTGTTTGCATCGTAATAATATATCAACTTGGAACATCTGTTTTTCATTTATAAATTTCCCACTGTCAAAATAAATAAAAAGGAAAAGTCCAGGATTGTCATAGAGACGCTACTAAAAATATAGTGCTTTTCTTGCGTTCTGTATTGGTTACCCAAGTTTAGAAGAACGAGATGCAGGAAATTGATTCCCGGCCATGCCAAAACAGGAATAAAGATCTGCTAAATTCCCAAGTCCACAAAAATAAAAAAAATGGCTTCTTCGGATTGATAACGGAAAATCCGCCCTTCGATCGCCACATCATGGACACCCAGCACAAAACTCACGATCGGCTCGGGAGCGGTGGATTCCTCGCACAAGCCGCTGTCGAAATTGCCGTTGACGCGATGGCCAGCCCGAAGCGCAGCGACCACGTCGTCGAACGTATCCAGGGGTCCTGCGGAAATTCGCGAATCGGTCGCCACGGTTGCATGACCTCAGTTGTAATCGGCATCGCATGCAATTGCATATTTCCTGGATTGCTACGATGCCGAGGCACTATGCGAACGGTATC